TATTAAAATAACAAGTTACCTGTAACAGCTCTCTGCTGATAGCAGCACCGCTACTGAGAAGTTGTTCCCCTAGAGCTGAGACTGAGCATCTCTTAGACGTTTGTTTGCAACCCAGATTCCTTCCTTCCTTCCTTCCTTCCCTCCACTCGACACGGAGGTGTTTACTGAGTCAGCCTCCCCGAAGCTGTGCTGGTCCCGGCGTCCAGGGTCTTATGCGGAAGGCAGTCCCTTCACGCGGCAGTTATGGTTGCACACGGCGAGTGCTTAGACCCTCAGCAAGGCGGGGGGTGAGGGGGCTCCCCTGGGCTTGGCAGGAGAGGGGCTTTCACAGCAATTCGGACCAGAAGAGAATCTTGCAGGGGGCATATAGTCCTCTCCTTATGGAGATTCACAGAGCACCTGCCTGCTAACTCGTTCACATCGGTTTAAGAAAAGCCTAAGATGTCTTTTTTTATAGTTTTCACATACGACCCATAGTAGAAGCACCCAAATCAATTATCGGCATCCTATCGCCAACTGTAGAACTTATCCGTATGGCATCTTACCACTGATTAAAGCTCAGAAAAGAGCTATCACAGAGCTGTTCCTTAAAACCAAAGGAAGTATGAGCCAAACCTCAAACGATGCTGGGGTGACTTGCCCCTGGGTGCAGTATCGGCAGCTCCTGGTGCCCCGAGATGAGCAGGAATTCTGTATGGGGAGTAGGATGTGAACTCTTGCACACGCCGTCCAATTCCAGGCTCCCCCGCCATCCTCTGCTTCTCCGCTCACCCACCTGTCATTCACCAGCGCAGAGCGTGTGCCAGGCACCCAGTGGGAGTACCAGCCTGGGTGGCATGAAGACGAGTTAGATGTGTCTCCGCCCCTGAAGGAGTTTCAGGGTCCTAAAGTCTGTGGGCGTCTCCTCTCTCTCTTCTCCAGTGGGCGGTTTCTAAGTGTCTTCTCAGAAATGATGGCAGGTGCTAAGACACAGAGATGACCAAGACACGCTCTTCCGTGAAGCAGCCTCCAGCATGATGGGCGCATCACACAGACGTGGGTCATCGGTCCCAAGGGCTGCGTGGCTGGGGCAGAGCCAGCCCGACCGCAGTAGAAGGAACACGAGGAGTGGCCTTGCAGATTGGTGTGAATTTGCCAAGGAGGCAACTCGAGAAAGGCTGGGTCACGGGGAGGAGCCAGGACCAGCGACGGCCTTTGTGTTGCTCTTGTGAGAAAGGACCACAAACTCAACAGCTTAAAATAATACAGATGTGTCGCCTCACGGTTCCCGGCCTCCCAAGGCTGCAACCGAGGCTGTGGCTGGGCTGGGCTCTTCTTCCGAGGCCCTGGGAGGATCCACTTCCCGGCTCACCCAGGGGCTGCAGAACCCAGTTCATGCGGTTGTGGGACTGCGCCTGTTTCCTTTCTGACTGTTGGTGGGTCTTTCTCAGGTTCTGGAGACAACCGGCATCCCTGGCTGTGGCCATCTTCATCTGCAGAGCCAGCAGCAGGCCGAGTCCTCACACCGCGGGTCTCTGGCCTCCCCTCCTGCCGTCGCTCCCGCTGCCAGCTGGAGAAAGTTCTCTGCTTTTAGGGGTCCCTGTGATGAGACTGGGTCCGCCACGCTGCTCTGAAATCATCTCCCCGTTTGTAGGTCGATGACCTCGGTCACGTCGGCAGAGTCCCCCTGCCGCGTAGCGGCATGTTCACAGCTACCGGTGACTGGGAGTGGACATCTCCTGGGGGCATTCTGCCCACCCCAGTGGACAAAGGCATGCAAGCATGGACGACAGTGGCGAGTCAAGGGCACACCGCGGGCCCTGCCGCTTCCCGAGATGGCCGCTCTGGGAGAAGGGCAGACGGCAGAGGGGGCATCTCCGGGCTGTGCCGTGAGCCAGGGTTGGGGGGTGGATGGTGCAGGAGCCAGAGCCCAGCATCAAGGGCAGGAGAGCCTGAGGGATCCTAATTTGGGGGCTGCCTGGGAGGCATCCCTGCCTCAAGCTCTGAGGTCGGGGGACTGGAGGCTTGCTGTGCGGACTGGAGGAGCTGCCCGTGGCCCCCAGGGGACGCGTGGAGGACAGCCCGCGTGGCTGGCCTGTTCTTAACACGCCGGTGTCACACGGGATGAGAACGTTTTCCTGACGGCTTCGTATTGTTTCAAAAGAGGTGAAAGTGTTATTTTGAGTCCCCGGTTTTATTGGCCGCAATTGTGATAAATCTTTAGAAGTCTAGTGTGCGCCTGCGTGGGCAGGGTACCCTTTCCAGACAGAGTTGTTGCTGAAGAGCTAAGACGCGCACTTGCCCTTTGAAGATTAAGTGGTTGAAAAGTCCGTGGCGGGGATGACTCGTTCATAGCAGGTTCTCCCCACCAGTCACCTCAATCTTTCTTGGCTGAACCGCCCGGTACTTTCCCCCACTGTTCTCCTTATAGACAAGGGTGCGCGGAAGTAGCCGAGGGCACTGCTGAGCTGGGCTGGAATACGGGGTCAGCAGGGAGAGAAGTGGTAACGTGCGGACGTGGGAGAGATGACGTTACCGTCGGAAGCCGCGTGCGTCTGTGAGGGCTTCGGCCGCCCCACGGCTGCGCTGAGTGCTCAGCACCTGGAAGGCTTTCCGGAAGAGGCAGGAGAATCAGTAAATGAGTGAGCAGACCTGGCCTCCCTGGCCACTAAAACTTGCCTGGGTGTCGGCTGCGGAGGAGACACACAGCGCTCGGCCAGCTCTGGCAGACCGCCCGGCGGGACGTGCCCAGGGAGCCTGGCGGCTCTGAGCTCAGGGCCACAGAGGATATGGAGCCGTGAGCCCGTGCCGGGCACCCCGGGGAAGTGGCCAGGCGGGGATGACGGCGCTCGCAGAGGAGCCGCCCCGAGCAGGCCTGGGGGTCCCTAAGGCACCTGCAGCCCCACAGCCAGGCCTTCAGTCAGCTCGGTCCAGCCTCAGGTCACCATGTGAGGAAGGCCCGTTGTCTCTGACCCTGGGGGCTTCCCCCCCAGCACTTGGGGAAGACCTGGGCACTGCAGGGTGAAGGACAGCGGCACCAGGACGTCGGCCAGGGTGCCAGACAGCCTCCGTAATCAGTGCCTCGGGAATTGTGTGGTCCTGTAGATGTTGAGCATATCTATAGGTATGGATTCTTCCCACCAAAGTGTGACTCCTCTTGGAAGAATCTTGAGGGAAGTACGCTGCGTGGAAAAAGCCAGTTCCAAAGGTTACATACTGTATCGTCCCATTTATATAACGTTCTTGAAAGGACAGAATTATAGAGATGGAGAGCAGATGCATGGTTGCCAGAGGTTCAGGATGGGACCTTGGGGTGGGCATGGTTACAGAAGGGCAGCGTGGAGGACCCCGGTGGTGGTGGGCCCGTTCTGCATCTTGACGGTGGTGTGGATGCACAGACCTGCACTGAGTCGTACACACGAGTACAACCGAGACTGGGGGGCCGGGAACGTTGAATACAATAGGCTACACGTTTCACTGTCGGTATCTTGGTTGGACTATAGTTTCTGCAAGATGTCCCTGCTGAGGGGACACAAGGGATCTTCATTATTTATTACAAACGCGTGGGACTCTCCAGTGATCTCAAAATAAAATGTTTAAGAAAGGAAACCTGTAATCCGTCATAGCGGATGTTGGTGTTTTAACTGAGTTCTTTTCCATTCCCCTCACATCCCTTAACCAGACCACGGGGTAGGTACCAACTTCAGCATTTGCTGATGTAAATGGGGCGTGACCTGCGCACCGGGGCCTCGGCAGGGCGCGGCTGCTGTGTAGTGAGAGCATAAGCAGCGCTGTTGTCATTGTTGGGGATGAAGGAGACGCGTCTGAACGTGCACGCAGGAGGGAGTGCGCAGTGAAGAACAGCTTGAAAAAGAGACATGGGATCTCTGCAGTATTTCTTGAGGCCTGGTCTCTGCACACACACACCTAAGTGGAGAATCTGCCTCCGTCTAGTGAATTTGCAGCCGTGGCCTCAGCCAGGCTGGTTCCTTCAGCAGATTGTTCCTGCTTGAGCGATGCAGGTAATTGCGGGATTGATACCTGACTGCTTCCAGCGAGGAACCTTCAGCCTTGTCTCCTTAATCATCTCCTTGAAATGCTAAGTTTTCATTTCTCTTTTTGGTCTTTTAGGTCCCACCCTGTTTTAACGATACAGTCAATACAAGATATAGCCAAGCTATAGTATCCACATTCAACACAATTACAGTGGAAGTAAACCACTCTGGAAGACAGCGCCCAGAAATTATCACACAGAAAGTGAATACAATGGCTCTTTGTTATCACGATAATGACATCACTACTACCTTAATACTCCTCGAACTTGGCCTTGCCACCGTTGAATTCCTGCTGAATAAACTGAGAAAAATACTGCAGTTTAGTCTCCAAGGAGATTCATCGTTTAATACAAACAACCGCTGAACAGGCAGGCGAGCAGGGTGTCTGGAGCTATGCGAGTGGCTGGGTTTCCTCTGCTACTGAAGATGGACGAGAGGCCCATTTTCTTCTTCTCTTAGCTATTACTTTGCATTCCACTGAAGCATTAAATCTATATTTTGGAGAAGAAGAACTGCTAAGACTTTAAAAAATATGTTAATAGGCTGCCCCGTTCCCTGAAACAGGCCGGGCGCCTGTCTGCGGTGCTTTATTTAACATGCTTCACGAGTTGTTGTTTAGTTTAGATACTGAAGCAAACTAGACTATAAAATACTGTGCTGTAAATATAAACCTTTATGAACCTCACGGGATAGTCCTTCTAAAATGTGACTTAAGATATTCCATTATTCAAGCCCATGAACTGAAAAGTAGCCAGTGCCCTGAGTAGTAATTTGCTTTCCAGAACCTTAGACTGTAAATTGCCTTTGGCCTCTGCGCACCGAATTCTGAGTCTGGGTGCACGGTGGTAACTAATGAAGTTTTCAGAAATAGTTTTTAAAAGGAGCTCAAACTCTTGTAGGCTGTAAGGGTCTTCTGAAATATACCTCTTTGGCTTACGGGCTGTTTTGGTTTTTTCTTGTTTAAAGAGCCACCGTATTTTACTGCGGAACCTGAGAGTCGGATTTTAGTGGAAGTAGAAGAAACCGTGGACATCGTGTGTGGAGCCATGGGTGAGTGCGGGAGCCACAGGGCAAGCAGCGACGTGGTGCAGGAACAGAAATGGCGTCTCCAGGGCAGAGCCGTCCTCTGGACAGCGACAGGTTGACTGTGGTGATTAGAAACGGGGCCGCTGGCGTGCAGTGGAACTCAGTTGGTGGGCATGTAACCTGCAAAGCGGGGATAATAATACTTACCCAAGGGAACAGCAAGGAAGCCTTAACCCTGTCCGTGCCAACAGAGAGAGATGAAGTCCTGTCCCCTTGACTCCCTTCAGAGGCTCTGATTCTGCAACAGCCCTAAGACTTGCGGCAGGAAGCTCATTCTCATCCGTGGGGTGAGCGGGACTGGTGACCACGCCCACTTGAGAGAAGAGAGATCGTTCCAACTTCTCGGATAGGAAATCTTCTGTTTTTCCACCCTCTCAGCTTGGAGTCGACTTTTCCTTTGTTACTCAGGGAATTCTACCTCTCGTCCCGAGCCTCGACCCCCCTCGTTGTCCCCTGTTCCCATTTCGTGTCCAGCATGCAAGTAGTTCTGCTAAACGCCCCGACAGGGACGGGCTGTCTGCCGCGATTTCACAGACAAAACTTCACGAGTCCTCTGGAGATTGTCAAGTAAGGAAAAGGACCCTTTATGTTAACACCTGTTCATCTTAAGGGTGGGGTTTTTCTTCTAAGAGTTTGGCGGGCGAGGATTCCTAACAATTCTGTAAATCTTCATGACAGCTGCGTAAGAGAGCGATCGTTACGTCCCTCTATACATGGGAAAACACCCCTTAAGAAGCAAAGCTAAGTAACGCGCTCGAGGCGCAGTCAGGACAATGAAGGAGACACCTTCAGCTCCGCCCGCGGTCTGGCACCGGGGCGTTGCTCACTGAGCCCCGGACAGGCAGCCTGCCTCGGGCCACGTGTTGGTGGAGACGGGATCCAAACCCACAGGCACCAGCTCCAAAGCCCGTGCTTAGGCCTGGACCCTGAGAGCCAAGGCCCTGGGACTCGGAACAGATACCACCGATCTGCAGGTCGCTTTCCATTTCTGGGAAGGAGTGTGAGTGCTACTCAGGACAGTGTTGAGTGTCAGCGTAGAGAGGGGCGTCCGGCCAAGAGTCCCCTCCCGCCCCTCCCCTCCCCTCCATCCACTGAGCCTCTGCCACAGCTGCTCCCGCCCGGAAGAGTCATTTCCTTACTGGTTCTGGCTCCCAGTCCCGCCAGCTCCCAGGGTGCAGTCTCCATCCCTGCTCTGCTTCTCTTCTCCGCTGCTGGGGCTCAGGGCGGGAGAAGACAGGAATGAGAAGAGTCCTATGAAGTTCAAGTGGAAACCTTTGCTGCGCTGTTCTCTCTTCCCCATGAACACCAGCTTTTTAAGGCCGACAACTCTGTGAAAGTGAAGCTACAAAATATTTAGAGCGCTTATATTTTAGAAACGAGAATCTACAATACTGTGGGGCTAAGATTCCTGTTGATGACATTAAATTGCCCCAAAATAGATATGCTCCTAGTTTCCCTGTATACTAACAATTATTTTTCAATAAATGGCAATGTTAGGCTCTCCCCTTGACAAGAGGTTGCTTTTCTGGCATGATAATCCGCAGAGTAAACTGCTTGTTAAGTACACACTGATAAATATACGCTGAACGGGTCTTTCAGCCTTGCATTGCCATCATATAATTTACTTCTTTCTTTTGACAGTGCAGCTACAGCAGCATGTGAAGTGGTTATTCTTTATGAAAACTACATCATGTAATTGCTATTATGAGAGTTTACATGGATTGCTTATGCTTTTACCTTGCAATGGATTTTTTTCTAATTTCCTGATTTAATGAAAAGTGACAGGAAGCATAATTTCGGCAAAGAACAGAATCTGAGAATACATTCTCTTGAAATATTCCACGACATTAACTTTATTTATTAAGGAAGACATCTTATACCTACATAGCATCTTAAGTCAAGGGATTTGGGTGTGCCTTTCAGCATGAATCACATCAAGATATTTTATTTAAATTCATTTTCTATTTAGGGAAACTGAGGCACAGCGCCATCTGAGATCTAGAAATAAGCCCAGACGTTCTGCACTTCCCGCAGGGCCACAACAAACACACTGTGCCCCCCGGAGCCCAGAACTCTTGTCTTGAGTGCCGTGGTCCCGTTCCTTGGACGGGCTCTCTTGTCTACCCTCCCTGGGTAACCGGACCCTGCTCAGGTTCAGGAAAGGAGAACGGAAGCAGTCTTCCCTCAGCTGGTTCCCCAAGGCTCCCGGGAAAGCCACCAAGAGGAGGAGCCCGGTGTGTCCCACGCAGCGAGGCCGCCAGGAAATAGTGCATCGTCGCCCGGTTACCTGCACTGACCACACCCATTTAGGGGACGAGCAACAGAGGTCCTCGTGCTCCGGGGCTAAGGACAGTCCCTTCATCGACAACCTGGGTTCTGCCCCAGTGACCTTGTCCGCCGCATACGCCCCATCCGACCCCAGCCTCAACCTCCTTCCAGGTGGCGAGACCGCAAGCAACTCCAGTCTCACGGCCTGGAGGCCTAGGTCTGCCCCGTAACATCATCAGGATGAGGAAGGGGCACCCAGGAGGGGCAGCTGGGCCCTGAGCCTCAGCGTGACCCTCGCCCTCTTGGTCGAAGTCTTGGCTGTGATCTCAGCTCACTCCGCTCTTGGGTACAGGGTCGGGTGCCAAGGTGACTTTTCCTGCAGCCACAGCTTGGACCTCTCGTGTCTCCCCAGCCTGAACCAGATGCACCTCCTGTGCTTACTCCTTTACCTAACCACCCACTGCCCCGGCACGGCACGCTAGCGGGTGGTCAGCGATATCCCGCTCCTTAGACGGAGCTGTTGCCAAGCCGGTGCGCGTTGGCACTGGCCTTAGTTGTGACGACGAGCAGCGAGCGGCGCTGTCCGCTGAACGCGCGCCATGGGCCAGGCCCCAGGAGGTACTCGTGTACTGACCCAGTTAGCCTTCACAGCCGCCTTTGAGGTCGCTGTGACCCTTGTTCCCTGCAGGGACAAGGCGGGGTTAAGTGCTCTGCCGAGTGGCACAGTCTCCGCCCTGGTGACCCTTCCCCGAGCCCGAGAGGCAGAGGCAGAGGCAGAGACCTTCCTCCCAGCCCTGCCTGAGGTCAGTCGCAGCCAGAACCGTCTGGACAAGAGCACAGGCCGTGGGAAGAGCCGGAAGGGCCTGCAGCTGCCCCACACCGCCCCCTTCGGGCCTCTCCCTCCCCGTCTTCACATACGATGAGAAAAAAGACGCCTCACAGGGTGCTTGGAGGGACGACTAGATGAGAAAATGCCCGTTGAAATACTGCCATTTAGTCCTCACGTAAGGAATTCTCGAAGCTTAATGATTTTTGTTTCACTTCTGCACAGGGGCCCCTCTTCCCACCCTCCGGTGGTTCAAGGACGCGGTCTCCATCAACAAGCTCCAGAATCCTCGATACCAAGTGCTGTCAAGTGGAGGCCTGCGCATCCAGAAGCTGCGTCCGGAGGACTCAGGAATCTTCCAGTGCTTCGCCAGTAACGAGGGCGGGGAGGTCCAGACCTACACCTACCTGGACGTCACCAGTGAGTACTACCCCCTGCAGAGCCGGCCTCCCCAGTCCTCGCCCCACGGACATGGCAGAAAACGCCAGTGTCTGTTCAGCCCGAGCACCCCCATCTCGGCGCTCCCCCTGGCCCTCTGGAGCCTTGACCTTCCCAGCCCTTGAACACACTGCTTTGCTGAGACGTAGGAACACACTCCCCATTTTTCTGGACAGAACTGGAAAGACGGTTAAGTGAACAGCATCTCATCCCGAGTCTTTTTCTTTGGATCTTTTCTCCACTTTTTATATTCATTCTCTATTTTAGTTTTATTGAACAATTATAGTTCTTTCGTGACTTTCTTTTATTGTCCCAGTAACAGAAATACTTTGGCGCTCTGAAAAATGAAGTAAAGGTAAAGGTTTTTATTATATTTGCGGGTTTTCTCTTTAATCTCCCATAGTTGCAATGTTGTTCTTCTAAAACGAAGTAGAATTTAGTGACTAGGGAACCCTACCTTTCACGTCTGCCCTTTTGGAAGCAAAATGCTGAGAGCCATCGGAGAAAGCAAACTGGTCAGCGTGTGCGTGGCCAGTGGCTCTCGTCAGCCAGAAGTAGGAAGGGACCGACGCGATCCTGAAATATTCACGCATATGTTTTGGTAAACTAGGGGTCATTTCCTCCAGCCGTGGCGGGGGGTCAAATTTCCCCTCCCTTGTGGAGCATCGGAAACAAGTGTCACTTCAAGCAGCGGAGATAATACTGGGGACTTAAGCCAGAAACTGAGTTTTGATCAATTAGAATTATTTCAGCCTGTTTGGAATAGTGGATGTTGTAGGGCAGGGATGGGCAAGCTTTTTCTGTAAAAAGCCAGATGGTGCCTGTTTTCGCTTTTGAAGGACGTGGTTTCCGTTGCTACTCCTCACCTTGCTGTCGTAGCCGGCAGGCAGCGCAGACGATTCTGAGCAAACGTGGCTGTTCCACAGAACTCCGTTTACGAAAGCAGGGACAGGCTGGCTTAGGCCCAGGCTGGTGGTTTGCAGACCCTGCTCTCCGGAGGGACCCAGGGCAGATCACCCGATCTCTCTCAGACTCAGTTTTCTTTCCAAAATGGAACCAACCAGCCCAGTTCACAGGGTTCTTAGGAGGATCGGTTTGGAAATTTAAATGAAAGTGCTACTTAACCTGGTTACCATGACAACTGGAGAGTGAACAAATAAATGCGTGATAATGGTAATGCTGCATATCTGTTTTGTAAGTACAGGGTTTGGCAAAATGGATTTTTTTTTAATTAAAGTACTTTTAATGAAAGAAAAATAATGTGTGAAACAATCAATATTTATTCGTTCACTTAACAAACGTTTATTGAGCATCTGTGTCAGTTACTCTGGGCCCGTGAGGCGCGGGGACAGAGCTGAGAGGATGCTGTGAAGAAGAGGGTCTCGTGCTTCCAGGATGGAGGGTCCTGGGGGAGGGGAGAGACGGCAGAGGGCGCTGGGGGCCCTACAGAGGAAGACTAGGCGAGGCCCAGAGCGGCCAGGGTTGCTCGTTAGAGGGCGGGCGCAGCGGGCTGGGTTCTCTGAGATGAGAGGGTTCTTACTGGAGCTGAGGCCTGCAGGTGGGGAGGACACTGCCCTGCACGGCCTTGGAGAGGTGCGTGCCACGGTGCAGGTGGGAGCTGCAGGGGACCGACAGATGAGTGGAGGGACAGGCCGGCCCAGGTGTGTGCGGGCACAAAGGGGGCGAGCGGGGCCTTCGCGGCTCTGAGATGGGCACTGGCCGGGCGTCGTCTGAAGCTTTCAGAGGGCCTCCGCACCTGGTGTGGGGGGACGGTGAGGGGACGAGCGGAAGAGACCAGCCGGGGGGCCCCCACGTCGTCCAGGGGTTCGCACCAGAGGTGGGCGCCCAGCGGGGAGGGAGGGCAGAGGCGGGCGGCTGCCCCGGGGTCCACTGGGCCCGCCCGCTTCTGCCCCGGGGGCATTGGCCCAGGCACCCCAGGGACCCCCTACACAGGATTTGGGCGCTGCAGGTCACAGCTGGGACTCAGGGCTTCCGGCTTAATCTTTCGCAAAGTAGTGCCGAGTCAGCGGAGTCCTCCCCGAAGCCGGCCCGAGCTGCCGCTGTCTTCCTGGGTCTGACTCAGGGCTGCTGGAAGCTGGAGGCCCGGGCAGTCCCCCGTGAACAGGAAGACCCAATGCTGCCCCCAGGAATTCTTCTCTGAAGCCCTTGGAATCTGGTCGTTTTAACTTTCAGAACGGATCCTAGGAAGTGTCAAAGTGTCATCTTCAGGACGATGTAGGATATTCAGAAACTAGCTTTTTCCTTTTTCTTTACATAATGAAAGCAGCTTGTTTGATTTATCTAAATAAACATCTCTCTTCTCTTTAACGTCGGTCAAAAACAGTTCTTCCCGCTCTTCCCCGCTTGTGTGTCCATTACGTCACGAGACCGTATTTCTCTTCAGGCTGTAAACAAAGATGGTGATGCCTGGGAGACGGCTATTGGAGGGTTGTCGTCGTCCTGAAAGGTTTTCATTTTTCATCGCTTAGTTATCTCTCTGATTAGTTCTGTAAAAGCCCAGGTGGATGACTCCACCAGGCTGGCTTGAGCGTTTCCGAGGGACGACGCACTGAACACTTCACTGTTCGCCTCCTCTGCCTAGATGTCGCCCCAGCCTTCACCCAGCTTCCGGCAGACACCACGGTTACTGACGGGACGACAGCCGTCCTGAGCTGTGAGGTGTCCGGGGCTCCCAGGCCGGCCATCGCGTGGAGGAGAGGTAGGCGCTCGTACCTGCTGCAGGGCGCGGCCGACACAGCAAGTGAGCCCAGCGGCCCCGCGTTGTGTTGGTTATTCTCACTCATTCGTTCGGTAAAGAGTAAAAATCCATTGACTGAGCACCCACCAGGGGCCGATGCTAGGGGCACGGGGAGGGGTCAGACGAGCGAGACCCCTTAAGCTCTGTGCAGCTCACAGCCTAGAAGAGGAAGCACATTTCTGTACACCGTGCGAATGGTGCTTTCCTCCGTCAAGCCCTTCACCGGGTGCCCCGGGCCTGACGGGCTCTGGATTTCAGCTGCAGCTTCCCCTTTGTGAGTGAAGGAGTGCTTCCTTGGTAATAGTCACAGTTAAGGCTACATCCGCCTTCATTTCTAAGAAAGTTGCTCTAGCACAGGATCGCTTGCCTCCTCCGCAGCTTGACATGTGTGGCTCTCTTAATCCGACTGTAGTTTCAGTTCCTGTGAAGAGTGGTGTCACATCTTGGGCTCTTTGCGGCTCCCCTGCAGCCCTGTCGACACATTCAGCACACCTGCCACTAAACGAACAGCACACATAGTCTGTCCTTAACGAACCGCGGCTGAGTTGGGTTCATCCTCATAGATTAACTGGTCATGCTTAGTGGACTGTATCTGGGTGAAACGTCAAAACTTACATCTTTTTTCACTCCCAGAAAACCAGTCGGTGGCTTCCCAACTCTCAAAGGTATGACTCGTGCACTGGGGCCATGGCTTATAAAGATCTGGGAACCTACAGATTAATCAGATAGAAGGGTTCTTTCATTTTATATATTTCCTTTTTGCCTTTCCTGATTTAGAATGTAATAATGGCTTTATAGAGAAATTTTTCAAATGCATACACGTATAAAGAAAACTCAGAATCAGTCACCCAAAGGAAACAATCACATACATGGATCATAACTTGTGTAACCGAATCTCTCAACATTGGACGATTAGGATGCTCTTGGTTTCTGTTATTCTAATTAACGCTAAAGCGAACTTCTTTGGTTACTTTTGTGCATAAAGTTTCCGCTTTCTTCTGATTATTTCCTCACATTATCTTCTTGGGTGCGGCCAGAGCATTACCTTGTCTCGAACATTGCACGTCTCACATTGCTGTTTTGTCTGTCGTCCCCAGGAAACCACATTCTGGCCAGCGGCTCTGTGCGGATTCCCAGGTTCACGCTCCTTGAGTCTGGGGGTCTGCAGATCACCCCTGTCTTAATCCAGGATGCCGGCAACTACACCTGCTGTGCAGCCAACTCCGAGGGCTCCCTGAACGCGTCTGCCACGCTCACCGTGTGGAGTAAGGACCACAGCCCGTGTGCAGCGCTCTGTTGATAACGGTTTAATCAGTGTGTCATCTGTGCTCGGGGATGTCAATATATGCCCTTGGACTCGCGAATCCAATCAAAGGAGAATCATTATTTTTACAACTAATTTGGAGAAATCTGTTGAGTAATTAATTTTTCAGCTTCTAAAAGAATAATTAGAAAATGTATTCAAAGATTTAATGGGGACGTTTCAGGAGAGAGAAAAGATTAACTTTTTAACCTCAGTAGAGTAGGGATATGACCCCCAATACTAGCTCAAATAAAAAAAACCTGATAGGTTGGCTAACCTTACAAGCATCACGTAAGAAAAGTGGACCCAGGATGAAAATCCCAGAGAAAGCATTTTTTCTATACTATCATTATAGCCAACTAAAACATTCCTCATCTATTAAATATAGATGTTTCCTCTATGTTAGGAGTGAACTGAAGGATCTTTGTGGTTCCTCCAGCTTTTCTTTCTCTTTATTTTATCTATAACACGGGTTTCTGAAATGCAGAATAAATTGTCTTCCAGAACATAAGGATTGGATTACCAAGTGTTTAGCTTCACTGGCTGATAAACTTTTCTCTCTCTGCTTCATCCATACCTATATCACTAAAAAATTATTGTTCAAAGAAGCAAGAGACAGTCAGTGCTCACTAATAGATTTTTGTAAAGCCATCTATACGAGGAGAGAAATTTTTAACTTGCCTGAGTGACTAACTTGTTAAAATGCCATCCTTGAGGAAAAGCTAAATTGTGCTTTGTTTCATGTCTGCTTAGCGTTTCCTATGAAATAGTCGGTCCGCTTCGATAAATGACCCTTTCTCATTTATTAGGTGTTCTAAAAATATCACAAGTTTAAAAGGAATGAATCCAAATCCTCCAATATTGTTAGGCACTGAAAAAGAGCTTTTGTTCCATTTGGTGGTCTACTCTATCAACCACATCTGATTCATCCAGCGTCCCCCAGAATTAACCATAAATTTAAAAGCTTGTGGAAAACTGATGTCTGCATCTCTGTAGGTCCCTCACCGGAAAATTTTGTGGATCTGCTGAGATTCAAAATTATAATAGCACTAGACTGGCTGGTGCAGTGCTGTGTGGCCTGCAGGGGTCTTCCCAGGCGTCACCTACTCTGTTCTGCCCCAGCGTGAGTGTAGCAGCTCCCCCTTTCATAGACAAGAAAACTAATAAGCTCAGAGGCGTTTCTCTGGATGCCCCCCTGGTAAGCCGTCGGGCTGGGCCCTGAACCCAGTCTCATGGCTCCAAGTTCCGTCTCCTTTCCTCGTGCCAGAGCGGCGCCCTCCCGAGAGGTGTGCACCGTGGGGACACACACCCCAGGGCCGCCTCCAGGGCCTTGGCCCTGGCAGCTGTGGAGTGTCGGGCGGCCGCAGGTCCGGACGATCTTGCAGGCCTGCACCTGGCACCAGGCCCCACTGCTTACTGACCCCGTGGCATCAGGCAAGACCCTGTACTTGTATCAGTTTTCCTTCCTGGTGACTGGGAAAAGGATTATCACAACCCTCACAAGACTGTTGTGAGGATCAAGTGAAACAGCATAAATGAAAGCACTTTGCAAAGTCATGACGTGCCGTGTAGACCGTAGAAATTACCAGAATGTTGACAATCTTGGGAAAGAATCCAGGGTGTAGAACCTGCTAACCGTCTGCATACGATCTTCCTTCTTGTTTCCTTCCGGAGTGTCTGAGGTCCGGGAGTGACCTGAGACGGGCTGGGGGAGGCGGACAGGCTTGCTTTCAACTCCCTGAACGTTTCTGGGTGCTTTCCATGTGCACTGGTTTTGCCGAGCTAAGAGAAAACTAGGAGGTTTTGATGTCAGATGACCAATTCGTCACCCCCTGAGGGAGGAAACGCTCAGGCACATAATCTTGTCTGAGTCGCGACTTGTGTCTTTCCAGATCGAACGTCCATCGTGAACCCTCCGGAGGACCGCGTGGTGATTAAGGGGACCACGGCCACGCTGCACTGTGGGACCACCCACGACCCCCGCACTTCTCTCCGGTCAGCTCGGTCAATTAACAACGTTTGGGGCTCATTAGTATTCTGGGAGCTGGGGAACTGAAGTAGGGATGAGAAGGGAGAATTTCAGAAACTTTGATTCCAGCCACAGATCCCTGATTAGAGCATCTTACAGTTCTGGGCTCCATCATTAATCACACAAATCCCATTTTCCACTCCAGCCTTATGTATTATTTACAGTGAGCTATGTTCCACTTCATGACTTCAATACAGCTTTTCGTGATTTTTCTGCCAAGGTTAATACACTATCTGTAAAACGTACTTGTCAGAGGCTGGTACTTAATGAGAGAAAAATCCAGAGGGATCGAATGGGATTTCAGCAGTGTTTGTGCTGGGGCTGTGCTAGCCTCGAGGGGTTTTCTCTACTCCAAGGATGGCTCCACTGTGTCATGGGGAGAGGGAGTTCCGCATGGAAGAAAGGCACCTGCGGTTATCTAACACACTTAGAGGAAACTGCGGGGAGCCAGGGGACCCAGAGGACATGAAGGGCCACGAAGTGGGTGGTGACACCTGTCTTTGTTTGACTCAGACGGGGACGGTCGTGATGAAGAACGTGACAGCCCAGGTAGACACGCGGCAGCAGACACAGCTGGCTGTCGGTGGCGAGCTTCTTCCCAAAGGACTGCCACTTTCAGAATAGTTTTTAATTTTCAGAACCAGCCTTGAAAATGAATCTAGAAAGAAAGATGCAGTCATCCTAGTATTTTCACTCTGGCCTTAGCCCCAAAGGCATGCAGTTAGCCAAATGATAGAATCAAGATGCCCTCCTTCTTTCTGGAACATTTCACACTGAGCAGAGGGAGATGGCTGTTGATGTTTACATACGTTACTCACCGGATTCGGAGACTAAGCTGTTTCCTCACTCTTCCTGGGCAGGTGTTTGACAAATCGTGAATTTCCACATCTCTACCTGTCTCTCTGGAGTTTCCCCAGAGCTCAGAAACCAAGTTTGCTTTCGTTACAAGAATGTTGAATGCAAAACGAAGAAACGAAAGCCAGCAAGTTAGAGATTACCTGGAGAAATCTAGGATTCTAGGAAGGAATTCATTCGTTTCTAAAGGACTTGGGAGTGTCACCGAACGAAGGACACATGAGCCAATTTTCTGCTACCCTAAGGGCACACCAGAAACCCCCCTCAGACCTTTGTGGTTTTCTTGTAACTTCTTTAGTGTGATTAAATAGACAAAATCGGAGCTTCCCTCCTGAGAAGGAAGTAGGCGGCTTACTCTGGGGCACCGCTTGTCCTGGGTTCCTTTGCCCCAAGGAGCTCCTGGCCCTAAGGGACACTGGCCGCCGAATGCTGCCCCCCAAGTGAGCAGCTGATTCACTTCCTTCTGGTGGAGACAGTCCTGCTCTGTCTGGGGGTAATTGCAGAGGAGCAGTTTGTAAATGTCTGTGCTCTGTGTGCATTAAGCCTTTAAGGAACGGGGTGCATTCTGGAAATCCAATCCAGTACTTGGGAAAGGAAAGCCAGCACTTTGATCTCGTCCAGCCGTGACTAGTGAGGGGCTGGACTGGCTCCTAGTGGAGTCTACATTTGAAAAGAAAAATGTGCTAAAATGTCATAAGGAATTAAAAGAGAAAGAAATGCAGTTTTAAGGACAGTCTGCCAGAATGGTTGGATTTTTTTTAAACATTTTTATTTATATTACATTATATTATATTATTTATTTATGGTTGCACCGGCTCTTAGTTGCAGCACGTGTGCTCCTTAGTTGCGGCTGGCAGGCTCCTTAGTTGTGGCATGCGAACTCTTAGTTGTGGCATGTGGGATCTAGTTCCCTGATCAGGGATCGAACTCACGTCCCCTGCACTGGAAGGCAGATTCTTAACCGCTCTGCGACCACGGAAGTCCCCAGAATGGTTGGATTTTAAGAAAACGTGTACGGGGACACCCTGGGGACCTTGCCCCCTGCCCAGGCTACACTCTTGTCCCCCAGAGACCTTCCTGCAGGAGCGGGGGGTACAGTTGCAGTGGTGACACGGGTGGTCAGGAGCCCTCAGACTCCCCGCCCTGAACCCAAAGACAGACGAATGTCTGCACTTGTCTTTTTGTCCTGTTTTAACTTCAGCATCTGTCTTTGTATTGTGACAAGACATCTGGCCACTTTTCCTTTTTCTTTTAAGATGTAATTCACATAGTATTAAATATCACCCTTTTAAGAGCACAGTTTGGCGGTTTTTACTGTACTCACAAGGTCATCAGTTGCTTGCTTTTATGTTTTTTTTAATATATTTATTTATTTATGGCTGTGTTGGGTCTTTGTCGCTGTGCACGGGCTTCTCTAGTTGTAGCGAGCGGGAGCTACTCTTCCTTGCGGCACGCGGGCTTCTCATTGTGGTGGCTTCTCTTGTCGCGGAGCACGGACTCTACGCACGCGGGCTTCAGTTGTGGTGCGTGGGCTCAGTAGTTGTGGCTCACGGGCTCTAGAGCGCAGGCTCAGTAGTTGTGGTGCACGGGCTTAGTAGTTGCTCTGCGGCATGTGGGAATCTTCCCGGACCAGGGCTCGAACCCGTGTCTCCTGCATTGGCAGGCGGATTCTTAACCACTGCGCCACCAGGGAAGCCCCAGCTGCTTGCTTTTTAACAGACAGGGAAGGATCAGCGACCGGGGTCCTAACTCAGGACTCTCTGCTTGACCCACAGCTACGTGTGGAAGAAGGACAACGTGATCATCACCCCATCTGGCAGCTCCAGGGTTGTGGTGGAGAAGGACGGGTCCCTCCTCATTAGCCAGACGTGGTCGGGCGACATTGGAGACTACACCTGTGGAGTCATCTCTGAGGGCGGGAACGACTCCAGGACAGCCCGCCTGGAGGTGATGTGAGTATCGCGGCTGCTCCGTGTTCACGGTGTCAACCCTCCCCCCCGTGACCATCACGTAACACACGTGATGGGTCGCCAGCCAGCAGTCAGAGGCCGCCGCCTTGAGCTTCAGGCACGCACGCTTACGGGGTTGGGGGTTTTTTGTAACCTTCAAATGATAACATGTTCAGCCTCGGTTTAGATGGTTTAATTATTGGTTTTCCTCCTCATGGATCCCTCTTATCACATTCTCCGCGTTGAGCCCATATCGTTGTAGACTGTTTCCCACACCGTGTGTAAGTGACAGCAGGTCCACTTTTCCAAGTGATGCCCGTCAGAAGCTTCCGGTCAGTGTCGGGTTGGCCCAGGTCCCAGGAAAGCCAGCGGCCTCTCCGTGGGCCCCGTTCCCTCTCCCTGGGCCTTCCTGGGGGTGGGGGCCGTGGGAGCCCTGGTTGCGTCCACCTCTGTGCTCCGAGCTCATCCTCCCACAGCTCCCTCTCCGCACGGGCAGGAAGCGGAAAAGCCTGCTGACCCGGTGTGTTTTTCCGACATGTGTTTATCTGCTTTTTAAAAATGTTGCCCCCCAAAATGTTCCCCCAGCCCATACGCACAGAAGTAAAACCCGAAACTAGAGAAGCGGGGCAGGGCTGGCCGGGCAGCAGCCCCTCTGGTCGACAGGGGCACGCTGGCCGTCAGGAAGGGCCTTTGAGAGGATTGAGAGGTCTTTCTCACGGGACTCTGCCCACCGCGATGCAGGAAGGCTTCTATAGGCAAAATTCATTCCCTGAAATAGGCTGTGAACACCGAGTACAGGGGCATGTCTCATTTGCCTTTGAATGCCCAGGCCCTGGCTGAGGGAATTAAAAAGGAAAAGGAAAAACGCTTGCTCGGTGCTGCACCCAGGGCCCCCCGTGTTTGTCGCACACATACCTGAACAAGCAGCTCTCCGCCAGCCTGTGCGTGGGATTTGATGGGTTAATGACGGGCAGCTGCTAGTCCAGAAAGGCCGGCTGTTGGAGCTGCGGCACCTGGGAAAGCGCCATTCTACCTCCAGGCTGGCCTCCCCAGGATGACCTTGTGCTCCGCAGAGGTTAGTCACCTGTTGTGATCAAAGATCACCCAGTTGCCTTTCAGCCCTAGAGGATCAGTGGGGGTCTCCCCACCCTGCCTCTCACCACTGGACCCGCTGACCCTGGGCTCTTCCTGCCCTCCTGGGCCCCCGGGCCCCCATCCAGGGCACCTCAGCCCCTGCTGCCTCCACGGCTTGGCCTGGCTCTTCTGTCACCTCCCCCTGAAGGGTGCGCCCCTCCTCTGGGAATCAGCGCAGGATCCCTTCCTGCCCCCGGGATGCAGGCTGTCTCTCCCGTGCTTCCCAGCACCTGCTCCGCCCTCGTCAGCACCGATCACGCGGGCGACTTCTTCCCTCTTGAAGTAGAAGGATGGCACAGCTCTGCATTGTGAGTGCCTGGCAGTGTTTGGCATACCTTAGGCGTTCAATAAATACACGTTGGTTGGTTGAATGAATGTGTGTTTGTTGCAGGCCCCCGGCGATCCTCCCGGATCACCTTCCCTTAGATGCTCACGTGCCCTGGGCTCCCCCCACCGTCGAGAGCTGGATGGCCAACCCTTGCTCAGCTCTGATCGGCTGGCTTTCCTCCTCCATCCATAGCTCACGTGGGGATCTTTTTAAAAATTGTTGATGACGTTGGCATCCATGACCAGTGAATTCACATAATGCGCTGTGCTATTCACAATTTTTAAACTACCTTTGAGAACTCTCAGATCATCCATCATTGGTACCACATAAATAAGTGTTAGCATTTCATAAAGACTCTGTCCGCAGAAGCCAAATTGTGTGCTTCCAATATAGTGAACTCTTCCTATTCTGCACGTTTTACGTTCTACTGATTTGCACATCTCCCCTAGTATTTGCTTATTTGGTTTCCTCTAAGTAAAATACATTTTTCAGCAAATGTTGCTGTATCTATAAAATAATAGGCTTTGTGTGATGGTAAAACACCTCACCTGTAAATACAGAAATACTTGCAGATTCGTGATTCAAACCAATTTAGGTACACCTGGTTACGGAGCTGATTTGGAAGACTGGTTCCTCGCGAATTGTTGATGTAATAAACACTCCACTCTTCCAAATCGGAGCGAATGGGGAAGGCTGTAGGTTGGGGCGCGCCGTACCTTTACATCCAATAAGGTCTTAACTCTGAGACATCAGTGATGACGAGAGCAATAATGACAATCACGGCTCGGGATTGTAGGGTCTTCTGCGCTTCTCGGAGAACTTACAAACCCAGCCCAGTAACATTTTCCTGACTCACTCAGATGACAACAAAGAATGTCCCGTTGCAGGAGTGACTGAGAGGTACTTGTGGCTAAATAGTGTCCTTCCGAAGGACCTGAAAGCCTGCTTCCCCAGCCTCCCCACTTGAGTTAAAAGCTACTTTGTTAAATGTAGAAATTAGGAGCGTCACAAGTGGGCTTTTCAGAAGCAGGCCGCCTGCTGGCAGCTCTCCTGTTGGTTTGCTCGGTGGTTGGTGCAGTGCCAGCTGGGGGCGGGGGGTTGGGGAGGGCACCGTGCGGGCAGAAGCCACAGTCCCCGCAGGGTCACCGGCTCTCTGGAGCGAGGCTGGCCTGGAGACCCCTCCCCAGCTCTCCCTGACTGTGTGACTTCGGGCAGGTCACCTCGCACCTCAGTCTCAGTTTTCTCACCTGTAAACCGGGCACGTTGCCATTGACCTTAAAGGGTGGCCGCGAGGTTTGAGTGGACCGCTGTTTGTAAATCCTGGCCGGGAGCCTAGCTTAGGGCAGACAATCAGTCACAGCTCTTACTGTTCCTCACCATCTTATAAAAAATGTTCCTCTCTTCATCCGCGGCACCCTCCCCGTCACCCAGGGCCAGGAAGTTTCTCTCTTTTATCCTCTGACACACGAGGTGTGTCTGTCTGCTGCGGAGCCAGCCCACCGTGCGTGGAACGGCGCCAGGTGCATAGCAGGTGCCCCATCAGTGTCTGAGGAAGCCCTGCTCCACTTACCAGGTTGAAATGGGTTTGGGATTTGGTACCGCCGAGGAGGTACTGATTTCTGAGGCGTCTGCCTCATCCTCTCCCCGAGAGGAGAGGCGTCTGCAATCCCAGAGAGTCTCCTTATGCGTCTGGTAAATTAACAACACACGGTCATCATTAATGCCAGTCACCAGTTGTGTTAGCTGTGTCTCTCCTGCTAGTTTGCTAGCGCCTTACAGGAAGGAACTGGTTCTGGGGTGACTCTGGACCCCCAAAGCTTCCTGCTGTGAGGGACCAGGTGCGAAGGCTTTTTGGATTGATTGTTAATCATTTAAAGACCCAATTAGCATTGCATCATTCCTTCTGAGATCAGAGACTAATTCTTCTGAGCCCGGAGTACAGAGAAAAACCTGACTTACAGAGCGACTGGAAGACTCGGACCCCGAGGCAGTGGGAGAGGTTTCTTTCAATAAAACCACATCCGACAAAGCCATAATAAGGAGCGAACAATTTAATACCATCTCTCGAGAGTTATCAGGCCCCCATCGCCTTCATCCTCAGAGTGAAGCCAGAGGAGATGGGTTTGACCAAGGTGTCATTTGTGCGTTAGAGGGACAGCGCTTTTGCGTAGGAAATGCTTACCCAATCCTCTCCCACCAGAGCAGCTCCCCATGGCCACCACTGTCCCAACTGCCTTCTCTCGAGCCTCTCCCCAAGCCGTTCCTCTCAAACACACCTCGCTTCATCGCCGTCCCCTACGGCCCAGGTTTTGTTGTTAATTTCTGATATTATGGCGGTGTCATTTTCCTGATGGTGATTTCTCTTTAACTCACTTAAGTGACAGCACTGGCCTCGTCCCCATTGTCCCTGTTGTTCTCAGAGCCTTTCAGCTGCCGCCCTGTCTGCAAATCACTGTCTGTGAGTCACTGGCTGATCATTTATCTCCTTTCAGACTTGGCGGAGAAGGTGCCAGGACACAGTCTCCCGCTATTAGATGAGCTTCTCTGAGATGGATTCAGAATATATTGAAGCCTCATTTATCGGCTGTTGATGGGTTAGTCAAGTATCTCGCAGAGCTTGATTTTCCAGATAACCGAAACATCATTTAAAGAAATAGTGTACATTTCCAATGCATATTAAAAAGTTCTTTGCATTAGGAAACAGGTAATACTGGACACGAGGTACGCTAGAGGGAATTTCCATGGAGGGGAGAGGCTGGAACTAGGGGGAAAAAAAATCTAAATTTCCTTCCAACTCTGAGTCCTGTGATGTCTGTAAAGAACACACTTTGCGTGGGCCACCCTCCAGGGGCGACCATGGACTCTTTTGGGGCAGCAGTGGACGAGGGCTCGTTATTTCTAGCTGCATCACGGACAGTGATGTCCTTGGGCACCACTGGGCTTTAGATCTCGGTTCCTGTTCTAAATGCCTCAAGGCCACTTTGCCTTTTAAGTTCCGAAGTCTCATCAATCTTTTTAAGTCTTTTCTCACCCCTCCACACCAAGCTCAGGGCTGCCATTGTTGCTGTTCAGGTGCCTACTTCTGACACGCCCTGTGGCATTCTCCTTGGTGGCTTTTCAGCACTGGGAGGGGGGACATCGGAAGCCACTCTTCCCAGACTCACACCCTGGGTGAGCATCAAGCTCTGAGGGCTGGACAGAGGGACTTGCCTAAGCTGCTCCAAGGACTTCCTCAACTGAAAGAGCTACGAGCTGCAGAGGGAGTCGAGGGGTAGACGTGATTAGTTCTGCTCCAAAGTTCGCCGAGGGCAAGAGGGAGGCCCAGGAAGTCTTCACAGAGGAGAGACTGAGCTTCGGAGCTTTGGAGGCTGAGCTGGATTTTCCGGCACAGGTGGGAACGGCCTGGCTCAGGGAGCTGCGAGTCACTGGAGATGGCCTTGGTCACGGCCGGGCGGTTCCACGCACCCGGTGTGGGGACAGAGCTCGTGAGCATGGAGAGGGAGCTGCAGACGGTGCAGGGGTGTGGCGTGACCCCGACAGT